GGGCATAATGTTTCGTGACAAATTATAAGTTGGTAGCAGTTTCTAATACTTATAAATTTCAGAGAAAGATAAGCAATGCCTTAAGGGAAAATAAGTAGGATAAAGTTTATATAAGTAGATTTCTTAAGACTGGGCTTGATTTGATTATTTATATCTTTGAAGCCTAGAGATGTGTTTTGGGCCTCTAGAGGCAGTGTTTGAATCATACACATAGTTAAGGAGCCATAACAACAACACAGCACCATAAAGGTTATTTGGTGATTATTCCTTGGAAACAAATGTCTTCAGCCAAGCAGACTGGGTATAAAACAATTGTATGGGAATGGAGAATAAGCCCGACCCAAAAGCATCCAGATTAGGGAGAAGTTGCTAAACTGTAGAACCAGAGGCTCCATTAATGTACTTGGCACTTCAGGCCTTGAAGTGCTTGTTCTCACAGATTTATAGGACCCAAGAAGAGTACTTACTAATAATAAATTTAGCTTTGAAGTTAGGGTTATTTCCTATCACTGTTACGTAATAGCTTGTGGAGAAAGCTCATCTCTTTTGCTCTCAGGAACCTACAGTAGTTTCTTGTGCCCACTGCTTAAATGGAATCTCTTTCAAGCTTTAAGGCTATTTATAAACTCCTCCTCCCCTCCCCATTTTCTTGTATTCTTAATCTATACTCCCAGACTCTACTTCTCTACTCTGCCTCATTTCAACCTGTTCCTAGGTTCACTGCCCATCCTCAAGCCCACACCATCCTCTTCATCCTTTTTTGTATTATATCTCTGCCTTTCAGTATTCTCATATAATTCAAGGATTATCTGAATTACTCTTCTGGGGCACAGGCTCTGATTCTAGACTGCCTTAGGTCAAATGGCCACATTTAACAGCTGTGCTACTTTGGACAAATTACTTGACCTCACTGTCCCAATTTTCTCATCTGTAAAATGGAAAAAATCATAGTAAACTATCTCATAGGATTGCTGTGAGGATTTAACAAGCTAATACAATTCTTGACCCAGTAAGAGCCCAATACATGCTATTATAATTATTCTGATCCATACTAATTCTTTAAAGAGTGGTTATACAATTTATCACTTGTTTTTTACTGTCTTCTATTCTCTGATGTTCTTTTCACTTTGAATCTTTTCTTACAAATTTAGTTACAAACTTTTGAAGGCAAAGACCATTCACTTTTTAAAAAAGTCTCTTTAAGTTCCCCCAGGATGGTTCTAGTTTTCTTTCTGTTTTCCATTTCTGTTGCTTATATTTTTAAATTTATACCCTATTTAGTTCTCAAAGTAGCTTATAGACTATATATAATAGAATAGCATACAAAATAAAGATGAATCAGGGTCATGAATGTATGAAGCTTTAGTAGATGAGATTGGAGTGTATTATACTGAAATATACACTATGAAAATTTATACAGTTGTTAAAGGTGGACCCCAGCTAAGTTCTGAGCTTTATGGTGGTCGAAGGGAAGAAAGCAACACAACATTTGCTCAGGAAAAACTTAGTTTCTTGGAAGTAAATATTTAGTGAGTGAAATGCAGATTGTGATAGCAGATTTCAAAGATATGCTAAGAAACCTGAGGGTTAAGTCCTCCAAATGTTAAGCCCCAACCTACTTCACAACGTTTTTCAGAGGGGGCTAATTGGTATTTTTATGGGACCATCTCATACATGTAAGATGCTAATTATACCGCACTAAACCGCAATAACAAACTACAACCCCTTCCTTTTGGGTTAACCCAGCATTTCTAAACACTCCCTTTGAAACTGGTCCCTCCAGATACTGGGAACCATTGGACCTCATCTGCCATACTTTACCCAACCTGTGCTCTTTCTACTGCCATTTTTTTTTTTTTTTTTAAACCTAGCACCCTCTTTTCAGGCCTTGTCTTGAAGGAGCTCTTCCAACTTTTTTGCATGCCTTTTTCTCCACTTGGTAGGCCTTGATGCAGATTTCAAAATTCAGTTCTTCAAGAATAGAATTCAGATTTTCAAGACTCCCCTCTTTGGAGTTGTCTCTGATTTCCCCAGGAAATTTTCACATTCCTTTCTGTAAGGACACACAGCAAGTGCTCAGTGCTAAGATATTGTAGGTGCTGAGTGAATGAATGAAAAGCTTGTGGAAATAAGAAGGCACATTAATCTAGTCTTCAATAAAGATTTTGCATAAAGAAAATTTAGAGAATTTCACTTCCATTACAAAAATGTCCAACTGCTGATTTCTTTTTCACTCAAAATAATGGTACTTAGTAGTATATTTTAAAAACAGCTGTATCTATATTTAGACTAGCAGTAAGTCTGTAATTTCTGATATAGTATTGATCATGTTCTTTACCTTCTTATTTGTTGAATATCTCTTGCTTTTAGAAGCTGGGTTTTTCTTTTTTCTTTCTTTTTTTTTTTTCCCAGTTGGGAACATTAGATAATTTCTAAGTTTTTCTCCTGATTCCCAGTGTAAGCCCACTTCAGAAACAAGCTTTCTCGCTTCCTCTTTATGGTGGTGCTCCTCTTTTTTATGGTGCAAGAGCTTCTTATTGGCTCCGTATTGTTATTGATAGTTTTTGTTTTCCTATTTTGACAGAAGAAGGACTTGTGTAGGGATGGTGTCGACCTGATTGGAGTGCACAAGCTCCCTTCATCCCCTTCACTACACCTAGATCCAAGAGGACTCTTGCTGTCAGTGTCAGGTTGGAGATCAGGTTGACTTGTTCCAACAAATTTATGACTATATCTTTTCTGTACTCTGGAAAGTTTCTTCCTTTCCTACTGTTTAATCTTTTGCTCTCATGTCTATAATGAGGGGATCATTTTTGTGTGATTTGAAATAATCGTTTTTGGGGATGGAGAGGAGATGTAGTGGTGAAACGGTACTATTCTGAGGCTCATCCTGTTTCCACAGCTCCTTATTGCTGACTACATCACAGCATGCATTCTCCACTTGGCTTCAAGGTCCACTTCTAGCCTGGAACATTATATTATTGAAAGATAACTGCCTTGAAAGAGAATTACCAATGGGCAGTGGAGGCCAGTAGCGGGGTGGGGCGGGCAGCTCGGGATCTTTTTTCCTGAAGAAAATATAAAATGGGGGAGAGTGAGATGCCTTCTTACCTTCTCTCTAACTGGAGTTCTTGCTGCCCACAAAGATCCCTCAATTCCAGTCCAGGTACAATGTTGCATCCCGTTTAAACTTTGATTTGGGATATGTGTTTCAGTTGGAAGGCAAGAAGGTAGCTCTGAGCCTACTATTCAGCTGCAGTCATGACTGAAGAGACTTTCTCTCTTTTGCTGCCTCCCTCTTTGTCGAATTACCTGGGCCATGCCTGCTATGCCCCACCCAGGCTGCCAAGTGCCCTGAAATCCAGGCCTTTCACTAGCCACCTCAGAATGATCCATGTTTTGTCATAGTTTTCTAGCATGATTCTTCCTCAAAAGTATTTCTGCTGCTAATTATGAATGCCTATTTAGGAGTCTTCAGAATCAGGTAATCTTTCTGGCCTGGGCCTAGGATTCCACATTTAAATTTGTACCCTGGGTGCTTCTTTTGCTCCCTAAAATTTGAGGACCACTTACTGAAGGACCCTGCTAGGTAAGTAAGTGATTAATGGATTAAATGAATTCAAGCCAAATTCCCATAAAGGTAATGGGTCGAGTTTACCTGTCTAGCTGGTAATTGCATTTTTTTTTTTTTTTAAGGAAAGAGTCTAAATCTAAAGTTATAATAATGTGGAATTGTGGCAGGGAGGAACAAGTACAAAGGAAGTTGGTTACTTTTATTACTTAAAAATGATCTTTAATGTTTAAATGTATGTATAGAGTGTTCTATGATAATCACATTTTTATAAATGATTTTAAGTTTTGGGGAAATTTAGTTATATTTCTCAAAGTATTTTAGTCTAATTTTGACTCTGATAAACACTGATTTATAGATTCATCAAAAGAAATGTCTCTGACCAAAAAAAAAGTATCAGTTCTCCACACATTAGAACATGAAAAATGTGGAGAATGATAGTGAAAAATATTGTTTTTAATTAAAAAGGGTCATTTGAACAATGATTACACATGGTGTTAGAATTCACTGGGGCTGCTTTTTTGAAAAGATGTATTTAATAGCAGCAGAATAAACTTCTTCAGACTGTCTAGTCTTAGAGGCTAACTTATAGTTTAGAAAGACTGCCTTGGTGAGGGAAAAAATTATTCTACTGTTCCAATCTGTAGCCTCTGCTGAAGCAGTTAAAAAAAGGTTTTGGTTGTTTGAGCTTAAAAAAAAAAAAAAAATCAAACAGCTGTGCAGCAAGAGTGAGACTCAAGCAAAATAGATTAACAACTTATACTTTATGACATGAAAGAGCACTGACTCATTTCTAACTTTTACTTATAATAAGAAATGAGAGATTCATTGTTTAGGTTGAGATGAGAATTAGAATTTGTCTTCTTACTGAGAGTTCACCTATATTCTGTTGTTACCTCTAGTCTGAATTTAAAATAGCTTAAATCTGGAAACATAGGCAGTTCACATCTATGGTATTTCATTTGTGAAATAAGAATTATTCTTGCATTATTGCTTAATAAGATGCGGTGGTTGTTATTTCCATTCTTGACCATAATTTTAGCCATCTCATAATAGGAAGTTCTAAGATTCTAATTTTTGCCTCTACTAGTTTATGAACTTGGTAGAGTATTAGAGAGTGTTACAACTTGGAAAGTACATATGAAAATGCTGATTGTCATATTTTCATTTTTAATGAGTTGAAATATTCTTACTTGAGCAAAGAGAATAATTCAGTGATAATTCATTACGGCACATTATGATGATTTGAATTGAGATGGATATCATTTTAATATAGTATAGTTCCTAATTTTGTAATCAAGCCCTAAGTGTTTGTGTTATTGTATGTAACATCCTTCAGCAAAGCCCAGTCCTTAGATAATTTTAAAAGTATTCAACCAAATATCAATTAGTGCTTTGATGTTCAGTCATCTTGCTAGTGGCACAGTGTTGTTAATTAGATAAACTATGGCTATTGAGTGAAATTTTATGTTTCAACTAACATTTTGAATAGTTCAGTAAACCTCCAGTAACTGGAGGGCTTAGAGAATGGAGTGTTTTTACTCAGTTCAATTTCGTTATTAAGTAAGTGTTTGTTTGGAATTTATAAAATATTCCAAAATATATAAGTACTCTTTATAAATTAAATTCAGTTTTTCTTTGATTGAATATCTCCCAGTATATGTCAGGGTCATCATATAGTTGGACAAACTATTTCTCTGACTGCTGCATATCATTCTTCTATTCTAGTTCTGTATCCACTCCTCAAGTGATTGAATGAGTTCTCTTATCTTTGTATTATTGGATTACAGTCAGTATTTCCACCCCAGAGTTTCTTTCCTTCTGCGTTCCAGATCCATGTCAAAATGCCTGCTAGATATCATCACTTGGGTATTCCACAGGTATTTAAAGCTCAAACTCAGTGTGGCTAACCTAAACCCATGTCATTCTTTAAACCCACTCTTCCTCCAGGAATCCCTGTTTCAGGAAGTGTATCACCACCTAAGGCCAAAAGCTGAGAATCTTTCTTGAATCTTCTCTCTCACCCGTCCCTATGAGTATATTATCAAAAAGTCTTTTGAATCCCTCCCTCCTCTGCCCTACTGCAAATCTTTGGCTCTGTTTAGCACCATTATGTCTCTCCCAAATTAATTTAAGAGCGTTTTAACTGGTGTTCATCCAGCAAGGCAAGACCAGTAGTCTACACTGGAAGCCAGAATGCAAAGCTGATTAGTTCACTCCTACTTTCAAACCCCTTTTGAGCCCTTATTATATTCCTTATTATATTCCTGTACTTGGTGCTTTCTCTTCCCAAACCTATTCTCTCACTGTTCCCCTACCTTCTCAGATTTTCCATTGTGATCTTGGGAGTACACATCCATAGTAAACAAACTTACTAAAGCCTTAACCCATTATTTCCTTTACTACATACATTCTGTGGAGTAAGTGGTTAAAAACTGTTCCCAGGAAAAAGAATCCTATGGTCAAAAGAGATGGGAAATCCTGAGTTAACAGTTCCCTAACCACAAGTTTTGTTGTTGTTGTTATTATCCAGGGTGGGGAAGTGGCAAGTGGGTATTGTATGATTAGTTTCCATACTTATATCTTTCATGATGTTAACTTCTCCACAGATCAGTGCTTCTACCAACTATTTTTAAAGGAAACTTGGCTTCAGAAAAAATACTGAAACCCTTTGAATGGAAGCTGCATTTTCTTTCACCCTGAATCTCAGGGTATGGAGATTGCTGGTAGCCCACACTTCCCCAGAGCCAATTTTTTGATTACTGCTTCTCCAGCTTCATGTAAATATTGCTGCTCCTTTGAGGCTCATGGAGTTCAGCTCTGTCACATGTGGCAGGGTAGGTTTTTTTCTCACATGCTGTCCCTGTCCACTGGTAGTGGCTGCTTTTAGCGCCATCTTGAGAAGGAATCCAAGGCTGCCTTCTGGTTCATCAAAAAGACATGTATTGGTTTATTAGTGATCTCAGTGGACTCTACATTATTGACCATGTATCACTTAACATCTCTGTGCTCTTCCATTTTAAACCATTTGCCCCTTTTCATTTACAAAAGAGAGATCCCAGATGATCTTCCGTATTTTTTAAGGAGCTCTCTACCCCCACCAGCTTTCAGGGTAATCCTAAGTGACTTCAGTGTCCATGTAGAAAACAACAATTATAAGCCTCATAGTTATTTAAACTTCCTGAGCTCCAGTGACCTTCATCTCCAAGCTACTTTATATACTCACTTCCATGGACCCAGCTGAGACTTTGTCAAGTTCTGAAATTTCATAGTCTCCCTATTATTTCATTTCCCTCTTCACTACAGTCATTCTTAGCCCTTTTGATACTTAATATTCCTTGACCCTGCCTTATTTGCCCATCCCCTTAAACTGTTTCTTGGCATCTTTTCCTTTCCCACCTAATCTGGACCTCTGAGCTAATCTTGCTAGCAAATCTTTTTCCATCTTCCACCTGGTCCTTCCACTGAATCAACCCAGCAAAACTTCAGCTTTGCACGCATGGTCAAGCAGTCCTCTCTGCTGGTTCCCACACTTAGAAAGCTGAGCACTGCTGAAGGCAATCCCACTTTGTAGAGTGTTGCATTACAAATTCAGGCTCTCCAACCTGTGCTGGCTCTTCACTTCTGTTTGCTTATCTTTAAATGCTATCTTCTCATTTCTCTCACCAGCATTTCAAATCTGTACTAGTTTTCTCAAACGTTTCCTTTCGTCGCTACCCTCTCACTCTGTAGCCCATCTTGCCTGCTTCTGCATCAAAAAATCTTGTGACCATCAGACTTTGTCTTCCTTAACTTTGGGTCCTCTTTGAAAAACTTTAAATTTTATATTTAATATTCATCCTCAAATGCCTTTCCTCTCATTACAAGGGGCAAGGTGTCTATTGTATTATTCAGATCCATCCTTTTGTGCTGTTGACCACACCTACTCTAGCCCCTTTAGGATATTGCTTTATCCTAAAGTCACTTTCCCTCTTTGGTATTTTCAGCTTTCCATCTCAACCCCCTTCTTTCTTCAGCTTAAACATATTCAGATATCTCCCTTTCTTAGGAAAAAACCAGATCCTCCTTTAAGCCCATGTACTGCTTCTGTCATCAATTTGTATGTACTTTTCAGCCAGCTTTTTGAAAAAATTGCCTACAAAATTTTCACTATTTCCTTTTTGTTTTCTCTTTAGTCCACCACAACCAAGCTTTTCTCCACTGCTGTTGAAACTGCTCACACAGGTGCTAGTGACTGCTTCATTCATTGTCAGTTCTGTGGATGTTTTCTTAAGAGTTCTCTTTTTTGTTTGACATTATTGGTTATTTGTTAGTTGTTTTCTGCTCCCTTGAAACCTTCATCTCTGGACTCTGTGGCACTGCCCTTGCTAGGATCTCCTCCTAATGCCTGACTTTGTATTCTCTAGCTCTTTTGTTGGTTCCTCCCCTTTCTCTACAGGTTTCTTAAATGCTGGTGTTCTGAAGATTTCTTTCCCAACTTGCTGCTGTTCTCACTCTCCATTGAGGTTCCTAATTATTTTAGTTAAGATCCTTTAAACAATCTGTTGAAAATTATAGAGTTTTTCTCTCCCCAAATATAGATAGGTACATACCTACAAAATTTAGTGTAAACTTCCATGATCCATCAGAAACCATATTAAGAATCTACTATATGCATTCTATCTCAGTGATATGCATCCTCATGGCTTCCATTTGTCTCAGAAAACTTCCAGACCTCTTAAATCAATCCTGACTTCTCTCCGTAACCTAAGATGTGTATTCTTTCTGTTCTCTTTCATTGCCTGGGTTCAAATCCTCATGACCTCTCACTCAGAGCACTGTAACAGCTTCTAACCCTTCTTCCTGCCTTCAGGCTTGTGCCCCTCAGATAATCCTCCACAGAGTCCCTAACTATTTATTATTCTGACCTTTTCAGCTCCAAAGTCTGATTCTTTATTTCCTATGGAAACAGTCCAAGCTCTTGAACGACACACACCCTCCCACACCATCCTTCCTGTGTGAGGGACTCTTCTTCTGCCTGCTATAATCTGAGCATATCTTCATTATTGTACAGACTTTAAATAGAAGTCCTCTTTCCAATGCTATCAGAATTGAGTTGAACAGTTAATTGAAGAAAGGGATTAAAGGTGGAGTTAAAACAATAATACACAACACATACTTGAAACACATTTTATTTCAACTTAAAACACATAAAGACATGCATTTGCTAATTTTTTCATGTATGACCAAGACATTGACTTTGAGTGTGGGTATTAGATTAGATTTTTTGTTCATTCTTGGTTAAACTGAACCCAGAATGCATCCTCTAGATTTTTGGTTTAAATGAAAGTTTTGGTTTAAATGAAAGAACTTAGGCCACTTGGAAGCAGTCTGAGAGCAGAATTCTAGATTCGTATGATTTTTTACCCCCCAACCAATTTTTTCAGTTGCATTGTTCATACCTGGTTCAATAGTAGTTTGTTTTTTTTTATGGAGACTTACCTTTAAAGTCTTTCCAAGGCATCTTAGGAATAACAGTTTTCTGTCTCTTTCACTTATATTTTATTGGTTTGATTTGTATAGCATTTAACTAAAGTATACTTTTAATACAAGAATGTGATTTGTGAACATATCAACTGAGTGGAGTAGAAGTGCTTCATGATCACAATGCTCTAGATATTAATCATTTTATAGAGGAAATGGACATCGTTTCGATTAATCTAGCAAAGTTGGTGGAATGGAGATTGGTTAAGATATTTCTACTGTAATTATTTTTATTGCTTATCTTCCTTTATTACAGTGAGTTTTCATAAGGCAAGGACTATATATTTTTTTCATTTTTGTATATCTAACCTTCACTTGTGCATACCACTTTGGAGATATTCCATGTGTATTTGTCCGATGAATGAACAAATTCTTGTATAAGTCATACTAAATTTGAATAATCAGAAAGAACGCTGGACTGGGAATCTGCTATTATAGACAAATCATTGGCCTTGGAGCCAAACTGGAGTTTGAATCCTTTCTCATTTACATTCTTAAGCAGATTACTTTCTCTTTTTCATTTAAGAAATGAGGATAACAACTTTTGGATCATGGGAAGATTAAATGAGACTGTGAAGTGTCTAGCATAGTGTTTGACAAAGTAAGCAGGCAACAAGTCCTGATGATGCTCGTCACTACTGATGAGAATGAGGGAATTCACTTGGTCTCTATTTTCTTATCCAGTGGCTTGAACAACATAATTTGAGTGTCCTACCAGCTCTGAAATTCTCTTTCTATAAACCAGTGTTTTATGTTTTAGACAGACATATATAATAAATATATTGGTATTCTTTGATTTGTCATATTTGTAGACACCATAAAATAGGTAACTAATTAGGTAATCATAACCTTGCACCTTGGAAAACAAATATTTCCAGACTTTGGAATGTAATTTGTTAGTGAGTTGAACTCTCTAATAAAGTGTGAAGAACAGCTCAGCTCCACTAATCACTGTCATCCTAACTTCATAGGAGCTAAAGTAGGAAGTAGAGAAGGAAGTTCTAAGGAGTTTGGAAGCACTAGCTTAGAAGAAGTGAGATAAAATTAAGCTCTTGAAACTAAATTTATGGACAAATAAAGCTTTTTTAAACCACAATTTGTGTTTGTTATAAATCTAGGTTTTGGATTTTCATATTGATCATATGTTCTTCCTCATTAAAAAATGGGGATAGGATGAGAAAGATGGAAACGAAACCTTTTTGGAATGGCTCTAAGGTTATTTTCTGTTCTACATTCTAAATTTTGGTTTGTTTAAAGAAATAAGTAAATTAGCAGAATTCCTTTTGGTATTCATTCTATATCTGATGCTAATATAGTTTTTATATTGCAGTTATCATTTAATATGGAAGGAGATGAGTTCTTTGGAGAAAAAACATTCCAGCGTTATTGTGCAGAATTCATCAAACATTCACAGCAGATAGGCGATGGTTGGGAATGGAGAACTTCAAAGGTAAGAAAAGAAAATTTTTTTCCTGATTAAATAGAGGTGTTTTTTTTTCTGCCATGTAAAATCTCAGTAATTGAAACTAATGTATGAAAGCTAGCTTGATTTAGTAAGCGGCGTAAGTTGAAGAATGTTTTAAAACAGATGTCCGTTTTATTACTTTAACTATACATACTCATTATAGTTAGGCTAATGAAGTATTATCTAGAAAAGTCTTTAGGTGGCCTGCTTTAATTTAATAGGTAAGCATGCTTAGCATATTAATTATCTGAATATAGACAGATGCTTCAAACCATTTGTTTACATTATTAATTTTCATAGGAAACTATTTTTGTCCAGGGAGTGAAAAGATAACCCTGAGACCAAATCAGTTAAATAGTCAAGCAATCACAAATTCTGAAATATTGAGGACTGTGTTAATTGGGAATTTTTTTCAATTATTATTATTTTTTTAATTTTTAAAAAATTTAAAAAATTCTTTAATGTTCCCACATATTTGGGAATTTTTTAATAATATAAACACATTCTAAAACGTTTTCTCTTTTGGTTCTATTCAGTAATAATAGTAAAAAGGTCTATGTACCCATTTGTTTTCACAAATATATTTAGTAAGGTTTTCTGCCAAAAGCTTTTTAAGAGTTTCTTGATCTCTTTCTTAGAGAATATGTCTTCTCTACTTGACATCATATCCTATTCCTGAAAAAGTAGTAAATCTCAATTCTTTGCCGATTAGCTCTGTTTCCTATATGTACTCTGAGAAACATGAATAGTTTTGAGCTGATTCTTTTGATTCAGAACTAGGCCAAAGAAATGCAGGTCTTGATCAGGTCTAGAGTGTCACTAGGGAGAAAAGCCATAATTTCTTCTTGGGTCATCTGCTGACTGCGCTCTTACAGGGTGGCTCATGGGGTGGGTCAGAGGTGTAAAGTCAATTTCCTGTGGTACATTCCAGCCCCACTCCCTCGAGTTAGTGATTGGACAGGCCATAAGTCTTTAGGGCATCTTCTGCTCCAGGATAACATGATTTTACTGGCACCTAGTATTAATTTCTTTTCTGAGTATTTTATAATTTTATTTGCTATTGTATTTGAATTTTTATTCATATTCTTCCTTTTATGATTATCATTGACATATAAAAGAACTGCTAATTTTTGTATATTAATTTTATAACTATCCAATCACCTTACTGAATTCTCTTTTTAGTTTTCATAATTTTTCAGTGAATTCCCTGTGTCTTCTAGGTAGACTGAGGTATCTGCTAATGAGGAGTTTTTTGTTGCCTTCTTTGTAATATTTCTCTGTATTTATGAATTGATTAGAAAAATGTTAAGTAATAGTGAAAAAAGTTCTTTGTCTTTATCCTGACTTTAATATTAATGCTTCTGTTATATAGTGATTAAATAAAATGTTGGTTGTTTATTCATCAAAGGAGTAAAGCTTTCTGACCCCCCCCCCTTTTTTTCAACTTTTTAAAAATTAAGTTTATTAGGATAACATTGGTTAATGCAATTATATGATTTTCAGGTGTACATTATAATTTGACATCTGTATATTCTATTGT